TCCTAATTCCTGAAGCTCTTTGCAAGGTCAATAGCCACAAGCTGATCAATAGAGCATGCATCCCTGTCCATGCCAAGTCTTGCATTTTATAATGTAAGGGGTGCCAGGGAAGTGGCTGAAGAAACCAGCCAACCCAGTGGTGTCAGACTCTCCCACCATGCCATCCTCGGCTTTATCACCAAGAAACATCTGCATTTGCAAATTTCAGAGTGAAAAAATGAATTAAGCTGTTCAACAAGCCTGTATTAATCACACACTGTTTTCCAGACATATTCTTTCTGCAGTGACTGTTACAAAATGAGTCCCTTTATTTTAAAGAAACTGGGAGGTGAGGACCCAGCCAGGAATGAGAATCTAGTTCTTACCAGCTGTGTGATCTTAGATCAGTTATATGACCTCCCGAAACCTCTATTTTCTCATCCTGAAAAGGGGAGAAAACACCAGTCATCCTACAAGGGTTGTTTTTGATTGGTTGGTTTTCCTGTATAGAAAATGAGGTACAGTAGCTAACTAGCTTTTATAAACCTAGAGCACAAACAAATTACTCTAAGGTGAAGCTGGTTTTTATTATCGAAGGTCACAGAACTCATTAAAGGATCCTGGGAAAGTCAGCCTCCATGGACCCTGCTTTTCCTCCCTGACCCCTTTGACCTTGAGCAATCTGGGGAAGAGGTAATTGAACAGCAACTACTACTTTGGAAGAAACAGAATCAAAATATCGAAGCTATTGACTCACCCTTAAGGCAGTAAACAGTGCTTTGGTCTCTGACCTTTTCGCATCCTGGGGCAGTCAATAACCTGGCCGCTAGCTGCAGCGCCTGCCACTGATTCTGATTTGGGAGTAGTTTAACCTTGAACTGAGCTCCAAGTAACCAAGGCAACAGGAAGTCAGCTTCTGCGTTGAGGAGTAGGAATCCATAAATCAAGTCCCTAATGCAAACACTGTGTGCAGGTAGAGGTTTGAGGGGATAAGTGGTCTATGAGAAATTACCTTTGAAAATGAGTGGCTGTCCCTCAATAGGCTATAGCACAGTTGCAAAGACTTTTATAAAAATGTATCAATAGAGGTCAACAGGTGATAGTAGAATGTTTTCATATAGGTTTGTCTTTCTTTTTTCCTTTTGGCTCATTTAATTATGAACAGATGTTGGACCCACAAAATTATTAGCACTGCTATTTCCTCCTTCAAAAAATATACTTGTCTCCAAATACGCAAGCCTTGGGCACTTTGTCCTGTGTTGGGGCTTGGGAATGCTCCGAACACACCCACCAAATGTGCTCTCCATACAATCCACCTTGCAAATTTGAGATAGCGATCGATCCCTCCCTTCCCAGCCCCAGCTCACCGCATCCTTGCCCTTCCCCAGGCACTGGAGTAAGCAGCCCTCTCTCAGCTCTCTGGTGTAGTCAGAACAGAGCCTTCCCTGGCTTTTCTGTGATCATCCTCCAGCCTCCAAACTGTCCCTCCCGTGGGGAGAGAGAAACAAGGGTCATGCTTGGAAGGAAGTGTCCCAATGTCCCACCTCTCTTCCCTCACTCCGCACCTCTAAAAACTTGGCTCAGAACTGTTCCACCTTCATCTGGTCATTTGGGTGCTTTGCCATGGAGGGCGCTGTCACCATGAATGAAGGGAAACAGACTTTGAGAGGCCAGCCTTCCCAGTGCTCCCTCCTCGGGAGATGTCACCCTTTGCAGTCCTTAGACCTCTGCCTTCAGATTTTGTGGATTACAAGTGCTGTTAGATTAGCCATTGTTTAAAGTTCGTCCAATATTCTTGCCCATGTGTATGAATCCTGGGACTGTTTCCATAATCCTATCAAAACCCAAACTGTCTGGTAAATCATCAGGGCACTCTCTCTTTTTTTAGAATTTGCTTTCGAATTCATTGAATTGCAACTAGCAAACAGTACAATAATCTAGAAAATCCTAAATTATCTAGGGTTTTCACGACAGCTAAATAGTGGCAATCTGAATTATAGAGTGTTTTAAGTGTCATTTTATTACTTTTAACGTATCCTGTAACATAAACACTTGAGTAGCAAAGTATGCCCAATAGAGGTATGATCGGATCAACTTTAATGAAATGATGTGGACTGAGACTAATTTGGATTGTGAACATTTGCATGAAAATGGGTACAACTAAAATGACTTGAAATCAGTTTGTTCCCAAGTGAGAGTTAAATATCCGCCTGCTAATCCTGTTTATGGCTCATTCCCTGAGCATAAGAATTGGAGCATAATTTGAGCGAAGAATTACCTGCCCAACCTGTGTCCACAGGTAGAAAGATGACACCTCAGTGAATTTTTCCAAAGGAGCTGTTATCCAATAGCACTCTCCAGCTTAGTGATGTGCTGTGGAAAGTCCACGTGTATCCATTTGGTGAGAACACGATCACAATGCTCCAGATAACTGAAGTGGGGAATTTTCAATGTCAGTGCTGCTACCCCCATTTCAGATTTGTTAACAACCAGTGTGTGCAAGCATATCAATCTACTCCTACACTGTTGGTCTGGTAGATGTCTAGATTTTTCCCCAACTACATTTATTTTCTCAATGGAAAAAGAGTTTAATATATGTACGTGACTTAAGAAATTAACAATGGAGGAGGCTAGGGGATAAAAGTACAAACTCGTTCTTCCTCAACAGTCTCCCCTGTGCTCTTCTTCATCCGAATAAACAGATTTACTGTTCATGTGTGTCTCCTTAATGGTTCCATGTGCACTTTACATGTGTTACATATGTGAGCCTAGCCTGTTCCTGGCACACCTGCAAATTTTGTAAACAGGCTCACTATACGTGTGTACCACATGCCCCCATCTCTTGATGGTTATACTCTGCAATTTTTCTGTCATGGAATTTGATGTTTGTCTATCTCCAACTGTCCAAATGCTATGAAATATATAATCCAAAAATGCATAAATGGTACGGTTATCCACAGGGTCTGGAGTGAGAGTCTCAGAGGCTGGGACAGAGAAGGGGAAGGTGGTATAAAGTAAACAAAGCTGTCGGCAACTTTCTTCCGTAGGGGCCTCTTCCAACAGGGACACCAGAGCCTCTGTGTCCTGAGCATGTCTGTGGGCAGACTGGTGTTGTGGGCAGGGGCTAGAAGATGACCAGGTGGGCCAAGGTGATCCTTGGGTTTAGCACCTGGCTGCTTGAAATCTCCCATCTCTGCTGTTAAGAGCAGTGTGAATCTAGTCAGTTCTCTCCTAATCTCCCAGGAAGGTGTCTTCCGCATCTGTGACATAAGAGAACAGTCTATCTGTGCTGCGTGCTCACAGGACTGTCATTAGGCCCAATGACATCTGACTGTGGATCTCTCTTGGGTGTAGATAATGTTACTGTGGGCAAGGACAGTATCACTCAGTCTGGTTTGGATGGAAACAAGGGGGCCAGAACTAGAACGAGGAAGTCTCACATATTGTTGCTGCTATTAGTGGCAGCCCACAAATGAGGAAATGCTACATCGATGATTATCTGACATGATTCAGACACCCCCAGCCTCTGGATTTAGGCTTGGATGAGTTGGAGGGTTATGTTTTTGTAGCTGGGGGATCTAGGAGGTGCGCAGAAACCCCTGTTCATGTCAGGGATGAGAACTGAGGCTTTGCTTGCTGGTTTTGCTTGGACTAGAGAAAATGGCAGTTATTATAGTGATACCAATAGTAATGGGAATAATAATATCAGGAAACTCACAAGTACACTGGCTATGTGCTGGACACTGTTCTAAGCACTTTACATCAGTCTATTCTTGGATGTTCCCAAATGCCCCTACAAGGTGATATGTTCCATCCCATTTGTATAGTTAAGGAAGCTTAAAGCTTGGAGAGGTTAAGTAACTTGCTCATGATCACACAGCTGGAAAGTAAGAGAGTCTGGATGTGAGCCCAGGAAACAAGCTCCAGAATAGCTCTTGCAATTCATTATATAGTAAATATCCAGAGGCACTGCACAGAGATGCACCCTGGCTTTCAGCACCATAGAGATATGACTTAGCATGCTTGTTATGACCAGACACTCAGGGCTTCCCAGTCAGCTCTCATTTGGTCTAGTTATTGTTGCACACCAAGTTCCCACAAGGCGATTCCAACTCGAGGGAGCTGATCTTTTGTCTGGATCATCTTCATTTCTCCGTCCATGACTTTGTGGATGTGCTTCTCAGCTCCGGAATGCCTTTTCCTTGTGTTCTAGCAAGAGCTCTGTGAAGTCTTTCTCCACACGAATCCCTACATCCTCAGAACTCCCCAAGCACCTCAGTTGAATACACATAAGCCTACCCAGACTTGTGGCCCAATTTTTCCTTCTCATTGAGTCTTGTCTCTCCTGCTGGATGAGCTGAGAAGCATCACTAGAATCAGGGCCACCTCTCCCCACCATGCTGCACACAGCACCTCCCCTATAGAATCTGGCTCCTCCACCCTAGGGAAACAAGCCTGCCTGATGATGCTACTGCTTCTTTAAGCCTGTGCTCTGACCCCTGCTGCCTGGCAGCCAACCTGGGACACAGTTACTCCCAACTTCAGTCACAAAACTGAAACCAGTCATGCTACTATTTTTTTTTTCTTTATTCTAAAATTTCATTCTTGGGCCTCCCTGGTGGTGCAGGGGTTAAAGACAGCAGTATCAAGCTATCACGAGCCACTGGAGCATGAGTTCAATCCCCAGCCAGCCAGGGAGAAACCCACATGGTGCAGCAGACCACTTCTGTCTCACCCATTGCTCCCCTCAGCAGTGTATTTCAGTAGATCTGCCTGTTCTGCTCCCATTCTCTCTGCTGAAACCTCTCACCCCCGCCCTTCCCAGACCTCTGGCTTACACCCCAGTTCTTATATGCATAAATAAATAAATCTTTAAATATAAATAAAATAAAATTTCATTCTTATTATACCAGAAAGAGATCAGATCATTTGATGAGTTCCTCAGATCACTTTCAGGTTTGATGTTGTCTGTCCTCTTGTTGCTTCAAAGTAACTTCAGTTTTCTGGTTATTGTTTTTTAGGAATGCCAAGTCCCCACTTAAAAGTGGACCAGACAGCAGCTCACAATAAGAGCGAGGGCTCGGTGTCCACTGTGATGACCAGGAAGAAGCCTGTCACTGTTGACAGTGTTGCAGTTCCGTCCAGCCCAGTGTTATCTCTCCTTGCTGCCTCTGCAGCAACGTCGGATGCAGGTGAGCAATTTGCAGGTGTCTCGGGTAAGCCCATGGGAATGAGCTGTTGGATACCGGTAAGTTCTGTGTACCAACCTCACAAAGACATTGAGCATTTGAGCTGTCTCAGCACTGGGTTTTCAAGTGGAAGAATTCGACTAAAGAAAATTAGTTCAGAACCTGGAGGCAAGGGTACATGAAGATGCTTCCCAGCTTACTCTAATACTGGCTAGTAAGTAGGAACAGTATTACTCCTTATCAAGCCTTAGTAATTACCCATCTCTGCATCAAAGGTCTGATATATATGTCATCTCATGTAACTCATAAAAAACTCCGAAATAAATCTGTGGGTACTCATTTCAGAAGAAGCTAAGGGTAAAGAAACGTCCCAGGGACCTTTGGATAGAAGGGTTCCAACTCAGGCCCAGAGCCCATCCCTCCCCACATCTCACACCTCTCTTGCTCACCCAGTTTGGGAGTCAGTAATCGCTGAGTTTTCAGATACCTTGATACGTCCTACCCCATGATTTCATGCAGTTCTCAATAATCACCAGCATCCTCACTGGTTGTTGATAAAATACAAACTCAGATATTTCCAATGCTCTGCAGACAGCCCTTCTATGTCTGCCTTACTCTACTCCCCACACAATCTACATCAGCTCCTGTACCAACCCCCACTTTGCCACACTCACCCCTACTGCCAGGAAGGGGTGGGATTCAGCTCATTGCCTTTCTTCAAAGACAGTTGTACTGAATTCCCATTCACTTCCCACAAATCTTCAAAGCCCAGCCAATCACAGTTCCTCTAGACACCCAGAGCATCCAGCATCTGTACCATGCATATGCCACCCACTCATAGAAAACATTAAGGAATGTCTTCTATATAACTTCTTGTTCCTTATAACAGAGTTGTACATACGCAGAGATAGAATCCATGACACATTTCGTAAACATTGGTTGAATTGCTGAATTGATAAATGTTATTGCTGATAAATTCAGTATGTAGAGTTGCCTATTGGCATTAAAAGACCAAGAGATTCATTGTTGATAGTCACTCAGATTCATCTCCTAATCCATCAGGTAGCTTTGAGCAGAAAACTCAACTTGTTTATAAACCTACCTGCTTTATGGAAATCTTTGGTAATTAGAAAGAGAGCCCACTGAATATCAGAAGGAAATATTTGCAATGACAAATCCCAACTTGAGGTCCACAAAATACTGTGATAAAAGATGTTTTCATAGTTTAATGAGTGTAGGAGATGCTTCATTACACCTGCTTCCTTCCTACAGGGCTTTTCCCAGACTTCAATTTATCAGCATGCATTGTGAGGCCCTAGGAGGAGGAAACATAGAATTTCAGAATCTTTTCCGACCACAAACCCATAATTCCAGGGATAACTTTCAACATCACTTGGAAATGGTGTTCTCCTCAGCCATTTGGGAAATCTTGCTTGAAGAAATGGGCCCATCTCTCAAATATGACCATAAGCCTTCACATCTTTTATATGCCAGGTGTGAAATGAAAAGCCCTTGGTGAAAATGCAGGGTGAATGATGCCAGGATGAACACAGGAATAGGTTAGAAGTGGGAAAATCACAAAAGAATGCAGAGAAGTTACCCCTGAAACTTAATGGGTTAATAGCTCCTCTGTGGGAAGGTGTCAGCCGAGTCCTGAGTGGTAGAGGCGGTGCCAGGGCAACTCCGGGAAGCCATCACCTTGACTGGAATGCTCTAGATGCCACGGTGGTGGGTGTGGTAACACAGATCTGAAGAGGGGTGACTCTAGACCTCCGAATCACTTACAGTATTGTAAACCAACATTACTTCAATAACAAGTAATACAATTAATTTATTTTTTAATTAGGGTCATGGAGCACGCTACCCACCCAGCTAACTGCTAATTCAAACTCGTCCTTTAAGCAAGCTCTAGAGAACTCCCTTTATGGATTTAGAAATTAGCTTGTGTGTTTCTGCCTTTGCTTGTCAAGCAGATATTTCCCAGGTGCAAAAGACAGGTGGTCCCCCATTTTCCTTCCCTGAACTCTGTGCATTCAGTGTGAGAGAGAACACTTTCTTGGGATCCCGTGTCTCTTCTAGTTGTGCTCAGTAATTTACAAATATGCCAAACGGACATAGAAGCATGTGGGTATTGAACTTTTAAACCTGCTTCTCTGGTAATCAGAGCTGAGTCAAAACTCTCCTGTTTCAGGATGCAGGAATGGACTGTTTATTTTTGGCAGTGCTAAAATGAGACCCTCATGAGAATTTCACAGTTTTGGTCCATTTCCGGGTCTCAGGCTGCTGAGCAGAACTTTTGGAGGGAAATAGGCCAGAGATCTACTCCAGGTGCTGGAGGCCAGACCTCCCTAAGATTCTACTTCCCACAAACCTGGGAGAGTTAGGGGAGCAGAGCCTGGGCGTCTGTCCAACCCCCTGCTTCACACATGAAGAAACTGAAGCTCCTGAGATTTAGAGATTCGCCTGAGGTCATGCAATTGGATTTGAACCCAAATTTCTTGATTTACTGTCCGTTTCCAGTGGAATCTCACTTTCTCATAGGTCCAGCATTAGCAAAGTCACATTTCTTCCTCCCTATCTATGGACTTCTTCTAGAGAACACTGATTGAAACTCATGATTTAACGCCTTAATAAAAGTGAAACTTGCAGTAGATGGTCAATAGATTGTTTTTGGGTTTGATTTCATTCAACTGGGCACTTGTGCATTAGTCACGTGTATAACTGATGAGAAAACAGGCTTAATTTTTGTTTTCTTTAGTGCCCCTTTCCTTATCTATCATTATAAGAAGGAAATGTGGAACTACTTCTGGCTGGATACAGAAAGGAATTTATTCTTCAATAGGTCACTATTTCTACAGATGGTTTGGAAGACCCCAACAATCACGGACGGGAGGGGAAAGGGTAAATGACTTATAAGGCAAAATCAATTAAGTTATAACAATGACTAAAAGAGCTCAATTCATCAGAAATCCCCTACATTTAATTATAATGGATGCTAAAGTGCCTAGTGTGATTCTGACACATGATAGGTGCTCGATAAATAATCACTGAGTGAACTGGGTAATCGCCAGGCAGTAGTTGTGAATCCACACAGTGCCAGACATGGTGCCACCTCTGAAAAAAATAGATTCCTTCATGGAACTAGTTAATCGAATAGAAAATGTGAGACAAGTGTGTTGTGTGTGGTTGGTAAATACTTGCCAAATAACTGATTAGTCTGCAGTCTTAATAGTACTTTTCAAATGGCTGATCTTTAGTAAAAGAGAAAAGGAAATTTCCTTCCAATATAATCATCACAATGTGGGAGAAATGGGTGTAGGTCAGAGGTGTGACAATAGGGCTCTTCTGGCTCAAGTGTGTGTGTGTATAAATTTTTTGTTTGTTTAAGGCAATTTTTTAACTTCTCAAAGTCTGGGTGGCATGCCGATATTGATTGAGAGGCAGGGGCAGAAGAGGAGCTTGTGAGAGGATGTCCAGACTGGGAAGGTGTCACCTCATGAGCTCCTGGGAGGGAGGGATGGCTGTGGCTGCTACTGGTGCTCACACAGGTCAGCCTTCGTGATCAAACTGCTCAATAGCTATTGATCAGACTAGCCCCCTGATACAGCGAAGGAGGCCTGGTGCAAGGGAACACTGCATCATTATTGTGAGTAATTAAGGCTAATGCAGTAAAAGCTTCAATAAAGTTTGTTCAAAGTGATGCATAATTTGAAATAACTTCTAGTGCACTAGCCCACCAGTGATTTAATAGCCATATCATATAATCCATACCTGAGGAAGTCAAGATAATTTTTCTGATTGTCCACATATTGAACAAACTTCTTCGGGAGGTCACCTAATGTATAGAGAATTCATGATTTCACTACTGAAACATTACAAATTCTGTAGGAACTCAGAAACAAGAAAATCTTTTTGGTTCTGTACCTGAAAGTCTAGTGTAAGTATTATGAAAAACAAGGAGGCATAGCTTTCTTGTAGTTTCTTTCTCTCTCTCTCTCTCTCTCTCTCTCTCTCTCTCTCTCTCTCACACACACACACACACACACACACACACACACACACACACTCTTTCAGTATTCTCTCATTTTAAACCCAAGGAATGTATCAGGGTTACCATCTAGCCAGATCTCCACTACTAAAGGTTTAGCTCAATTAGAGATAAGAGAGGGGGAAAAAAGGGAGCAGCTTTTAGCTTGTATCTGTTTCCTATCAAGAGGACTCCATTATTCTCTCAAATTCTATGATCTGCCTTCTTGAAAACTACCAGAGCCATGAGGAAGTGAAATATTTAAATATCACAAGTTTATTAAATTTTAGACATTTTACTACTGAAGGGAGACACTTAGATTAGTAAACCACTTAGCTATAAATATTAATCAAACTATCAATCTAATCAGAACTGATGGATACCTACAATCAAGATGTGAAACCTTAAGCTTGAAAAATGAATTACCTTGACAAAGGGAAGAATGCGTTCCTAATTTTAAAGGAATCAGAATGAAATCTAGTATTCTGGAACAAAATGATCATGAGAATTGCTCCTCTCTCCCAAATTCTAGGATGCCTGATTTTTTTCTTAACCTACTGCCATCTATGGAAAGGAGCCCAGAATAATGAAATAATATCCAAGAACAAAAAGCAATGAAGAGGGATTTACAAAGTGTAAAATGATTTATTTCACTTGCTTTTAGTCCTGTGTGGAATCATGATCTGAAGCGCCTAACCAAAATAGCAGGTCCATTCAGCCAAAAGTCTTGTCTTTCAAAAGAACCAAAATAGACCAAATAAATGTGCAAGTTAATAGGATTTAGAGCAACCAAAGTCTGCAAGGATACACATTGAAGTCTTCAAATAGTAAAATAAATGCCTGTAAGTCCAGACTAATCACTTAAAATATACAGTAGAAAATCTTCCAATAAAGATCTAGGGAAAACAAGGCTTTATTTTAGAAACAAATTGTTAAAGTGGTCTGAAAAGTACTACCTATGACCCTTGTGGAAGCA